CTCCTCTCGACCTGGGCCGCAGGTCACCGCTAAAATATTTCAGCGGTGGCAACAATCTCCCGGAGTTGTTTCGAATGCTGCTGGACAGCATCATTTAAGAAGAAAGCACACTAAATACCTCCAAAGCCCAGGTGAAAATAGAGGATGAAATGTAGAAAAACATTTTGCAGGAGGGAGGGGTGGAAAATTAGAGTGATGGCAGACCGGCATTGGGACGGAGGGGAGCGGGAGTGTGAGCTCCATTAGATTAGTGCAGGGTATGTGGGAAGTGACAGCTTGTAAGATTTTTGCTGGCCAGTATTTTGGGGGCTGGGGAGTTTGGGAAGGTTCATTCACAGACGGGATGTGTGTGTGTGGACGTGATGTGTTAGTGGGAAGCCACAGTGGGAGGGAAGTTGTGTGTGTTGGATATGCAGAGAGGGGTTAGGGGCGGGCACACGGACAACATTTGAGAGCGGTGGGGGAGGCAGAAAGTAAGACAGTGAAATGGGGCTGGGGACTCTGGGAGCGATGCATATCGGATCAATAAACTTCATAAACAACATCATCAGCGCGGTCACCACGAAGACAACCAACCGCCAGGCACCATCTGGCCCCGTCTCTCCGGACCGCAGGATCAGCCAGCGTAACCTCGCACGCAAACACAAACGCACACACACTGCTTTACGCGCACGGTTACACAAGCAGAGCCGTGCGAATATTCAGCGCGCTCACTTTGACACGCATGGGCGCACTCAGAGACGTTTGAGCCAGGTAGACGCAACCGAGATTGGTCTGGAGAGATGGCTTGTGTGGCAGTGTGTGTCTGCGAGTGTGTGTTTGTGTGCAGCAGTTAAGCGGTTTATTCAGGAACAGAAGTTTATGGCTTCTGTAACAGTATATCCTGTGGCATGATAATGACAGTAAAAGAGACAGGGAGTGAGGGAGGGAGAGCCGACGGAGAGAATGAAGCCATATAAAGAATAATTTAGAGGCAGAAAGCAGGAGTGAGAGATGAAGCAGCGAGGTGAGAGAGGGGATGGGGAGAGGAAGACATGTCTTGTAGAGACAAGAGGGAAGCTGTGAAGAAAGGTGCAAATTAGACTTTTCTATGAGGGTTCAAAGGAAGTGTTATGCATGAATCTTTATAACAGTGTGTGTGTGGGGTGCAATGCAGAGATGGAACCAGATTATATTAATACTTGAGAATAAAGAAGCGCGATTCACTCTCATTCACACTCGTTCTAGTCATATTACAGGTGTGTGAGTGTGTGTGTGTGTGTGTCTGTGTGTGTCTGTTTGAAAAGATTTATAGAAACTATGAGGTTCAACTTGGTATCTTTTATTTATCTAACAATATCATTCAAATGTACTTCTACATCACACATTATAGTGCAGACAATGGAAGTGGCAGATCCACCTGTCATTTTATCTTGTTGCCATGGATACAGGTACTTGAGCGAAAGCATTAAATCTTAGACAAACTCTTTGCTTCAAAGTTTCCCACCAATCAGATCTTCTTTGTGCAAACAAACTGCCAACACGACTGTAACCCAGTGTGTACCTGGCTCCATGACAGGAGAAAGGAGATCATGTCTGATCCTACAGTACACTCTGTCAAAGCTTTACTGCTGTGTCTTGCCTAGACATAACACAAAATAAGTTCATATTACGACCAAATCAACTGCTTCAAAATGACTTTAAACGTCATCCATAATCTTAATGTTTAAAGCTCACTTATTATTCTATATTTGAACAATATATTATAGGGCCATATCTATACAAAACATGTCTCTGAAGTGTTTTGCTCAAAATACCAAACAGATCACCCATTGTAGGCGTGACTCATACCCCTCTATTTCAGCCCTGTTACCAAAGTGCTGATTCATGGTTCGGAGCTTCAAATGTAACCCGAGCTGCTGTGGCCACGCCCCTTTTGAGCGCAGGCAAGCACTGAGAGAAGACTGTCTACTCTAGGGCAAAAACTCAGCTAAACGCTGCCGTGATTAAACGCCATATCATGTTCCAAACCGCATCAAGGATTATTTCTGAAACAGTATGGAGCTCAAACTCTTTTTCTCTTGCGGGTTTACCACAAGGTGGGTACCTGTTTTACACATACTCTCTCCAGTACAGCGTTAGCTCAGAGTGTTAGCAATGCTTGCTAATGTCAACACAGACCATATTACTTTCAAAACACGTCGCGCATTGTTTCTGATACAGCAACGTTTCTGATAGGGGACAATAGGTCGGGGCGGAACGTTGCCATGACTTCAACGTAAAGCCAGCCCACATTTTAGTATTGTCGTCATGACCGCAGCAAATCTGGATCAGCTCTGTTTTACCTCCGTTTTTAGAGATGTGGGTAAGGAGGAAAAGAGAGAGGGTTGTATTTTCTGACACCTTGTGAGTCTCCTGACACACTGGGGACACATATGTATGTATAAAAGACATCAACAAGTGCATTTTGCATAATAGGTGACCTTTAAGTCACAAGATGTAAGACTTGAGAAATGGGTTAGAACTTCCATACAGTTTGCATTTACAACTTTTTCTTGTACTTTTTCTGAAATGTTTGCTCATGATTGACTAAGCAAACATCACCAGGTAGTAATTAGCTGCTTAACACAGTGTATTCAAGTGATTCTCAAAGAGAAGGGTCTGTAAAATGATCCATTTATTCAAATAATGATTTTTATAAAAATGGGTATAGACGTTTTCTTAACAAAAGGCTTCATAGTTCCCTGTATCTCGCTCTGATTTATTCCAGGACAGGAATGGTTGTCCTGGTAACTTCATAGAGGTAAATGAGACGGGCTCATGATTTATATCAAATGATTGTAAGTGGCAATCTCCCTCTCTGCATAAAATTGGTATATGGTCTAAATAAAACATCTACATTAAATGCGAGGGCTATGCTGTGTAGAAAACACACCTCCATTTGTATTCCCAGAATGCCACTAACATAGTAAATCATACAAATGTATTAATTTCTTGTGACTTTAGTGGAGGCAGTCAGGTATTTAGCAGGAACTAACTGTGTCTGCAGTAAATACCAAAGGAAAACCATGAATTTAATGGGTTATCTTGATAATAAAGTGCATGGACTGCACATTTTTGGCAGGATGTTTATCAGGTTTTTTGCAACCTAATTAAGATAAAGGGCAAAGACAAATGGAGCCTTTGTGACTACATTTACTGCAAATAGAGGCTCCAACACAGGCCACAGCCTATAACTGTGCGGTGATCACTTGGCCAAACCTCTCAGCTGACTGCACCTGCCAAACCGGGACAGCTTATTGCTCACTGTCAAATCATATTGCGTTTTAAATGCTCTGAAAACCTACTGCTGTTACATCAGCTCTTACTCTGCAAACTCTGCAGCCACTCCAATGTTTAGAGCTTTGCTTATTCTACCTACAAGCAAGAACTTGTGTTGCCTAAATCTGACGAAGCAGTTTGGTTGTATAAGCAAACCTAAAGTTATTGAGATGGAAAGTGTATTTCAGTCGAACAACGCACCTTGAAACATATTTCTTGTTGAGTTTCCGAGTTTAAAGCCTCTTTAGAAACGTTAGACCATATTTGCACTTAAACCAATTACTGACAACTTGAGACTGTTACAAAAGCATCTTAATGAGATTTGTGAAGAAAAAGTTTCTCTTTGCTGTGCTTTACACCCTACTGCCAAACTTACTTGATGTGGTGAAGTGGCCATTATAGTCATTGAAAGGCAGGAGCACCATTTTAGCATTCGGAGCCTTTATTTCAGACTTTATTTTCACTCTTTATATTATATATTTTTTTCCTTTTTGCTTGCCAGTGGTAGTGGTAGGAGTGCCCTTTTTTTGTGGTGTATTTGTAAGGGGGTGAGAGCCGTGTAATGGTGATGTTCTGACAGTAAACACTTTGAACACAGCAAGTGTCTTGATTCCACTGTTACTCAATGAGGTGCCATTAATTAACCTAACTAACAGGAGAGCCATTTTCCGTGCCCATTCAAATTAAAAAGAATAGTCAAACTTGGTGTGAACCAACAACAACACATATAATTAATAAATAATTAAATAAAGCAAGTGCTAATTTAACCTGACTCCACCAAGCATAAAAAAAGCACTTTTGAGGTGATGACTGTCATAAAAGGAGTGAAAAGTTGCTGTCTGGCCATTTGTGTGAGCAGCAAGACCACTGACAATTTAATTCTATAACACACAGGGGAGCAGTTAGTGTTCTTAATGGAGAGTTTGTTATCTCAGAGCATGAGAGCTGCCTAATAAAATCACTGAAGGTCTCTATCTAACACATATTTTCACTGATGAGTAGATCCACACAGGTACATATTCTAAAAATAATTTAAGAACTGCCTAAATCCATAGCACATAACTCTGAAAACCTTTCACAACAAACCTACACTGCCCTGCTCCGTCTGAATAATTACATTATTAATCCACTGAATGAGCATTTTTCAAAAATACCGACACTGACAGGATTCGGCTACGGAATAATATGCAAATTACAGGCATTTCAAAGGAGCCCGACAACAACATTAAACAAAAGACTTTGAACTACAGCTTACACAACGTATCCAGGGACCCTCATATCTCTGCTGCACAATTAATATAAAAGAACATCTCTTGTGCACCTACAATTACTTAATAACCTTGTAGATTAGACAAGAAAACGATTTGATTCATTACAAAATCCCTGTTATCTTCATTGATAATGTACTTAGTCTATTGTACTGATGTCTAATGAAGGGTCAGTCATCTAAATGGCTATTATTCAAAACAATCGGTGTGCAAGGATTAAATATTACTTCTGTGCTTCGTCGGCATGCTAATTAATATACTGAGGGATAGGAACTATAAAATTACATTTTTTATCGCAGACAAGTGGTATTTTGTTACATGCACTTTGTACCAGTTGGCAGAAGAGAGAAAGAAGGTGGGGAGGAAGACCCAAGCAGAGAAAGACCTATAAGATACAGAGAGAGAGAAGCAGAGAATGAAAGAGACACCTACATTTGGTTGTTAGGGATTATCTTGTGTCCGTCTTTGTACCACGTGACGAGGGGTCGAGGGAAAGAGGCGAGGGGGGGCAGGCTGATGATCGCCGGTCTGCCCTGAGTCACCGTCTTCCTCTGCTCCTCAGCTGAGAATGTGCCCAAAACTGGAGGGGGAGGTATGAAGAGAGTGGATATCAATATGGGAATGTATCAAATTCCAGTAAGACAACATATATGAATGCAAGAAATCCTTGAAAGAGCAGCATTAAGGCATTGTTTAGGGGTCTTTAGGGATTTCATTCATCTGTGTGACTTCCTCAACATGTGGTTGTAGAAGTTTGGAAACAAATTGATAATATACTTACAGTAGAATAGATAGAATCGCAGGGGTGAACCCCCCTTTAATGGTCACACATGCAGAGCACAGTGAAATGTGTTCTCTGCTTTTAACCCATCCTAGTACCAGGAGTCTAGTACTAGGAGCAGTGGGCAGCTATTGTACAGCGCCCGGGGAGCAATTGGAGTGAGGGGGGGAAGGGGGATGTCCGGTGCCTTGCTCAAGGGCACCACGGCAGGGCAGGAGGTGAACTGGGACCTCTCCAAGTAGCAGTCCACACTCCATATTTTAGGTATGGTCGGGGACTTGAACCGGCGACCCTACGGCTCACAGTCCAAGCCCCTACTGACTGAGCCACCACTAACAAGCTAGCTGGTGAAGCTAGTCACCCACAAAAGCTCTCAGGATGTCTTTCTACACTTGGCTGTTACTGTATGTGCCCTTGTATTTTGTTTTCAGGATTGGACAATATTTAATTGAATATATAGATGTATTGCAGGTAAGTTAGCAAGTAGTTAGCTTGGTCTAAAGCAGGACAATACGTTTTAACAGTTTTTCCAAGGTGTCTTTGTAGCCTGGTAGCCTTATTATCTGACTTCATTTTTTACTCTGGCTCTGTGTTTCCTAAAAAAGTCTGCACTGTAAACATGGCATTCTTTCAACAAATGAAATTGGTTTGTTGGGAATTCACACAAATAATACTGCGCCCCAGGGAGCCAATCCACTGATTGCATTGAATCGATTAAATGAACTGACTTCACAGCTCTAAATGCTGTTGTGACTGGGCCATTGGGTTTAAAAATGTAATCTGTGTTTACTTTTTGTGTTCAGTTTATGCTCAGTGTATTACATTAAAACACTAAAACCCAACAAAAATGTAATTGCATGTTTAAAGCATCTTTCCACTGTAATATTTGCAATAAATTCCCTTTGGCGCTATTTCTGGCAGCAAAGATTGATGACTAATTGGGATTATAGTTAGACTTTAAGAGTGAGGCTGCTTCTTGCCGCTGGGAGAAGCGTTTCCCTGAGAACCAGCATCCTTAGTCATTAAAAAGAGCCTTGTGAGTTGGTGTTATTCAAATGGAGTGAACACTGGTACTCACAGGCCACCTGCACCTCTGTCTTCCTGTGTATGACGGCTCCCATCCTGTTCCTCACCATACACTGATACAGGCCAGCGTCCGTCCTCTTCAGAGACGGGAGGGCCAACCTGAACATGGAGAGACACATAGAGAGCATGATGAGTGTGTTTTCATCTCAATACTATACATAAACAGTATCAATATGACCTTCTAGACTCACATAGGGTCATTAGAACTTGTCAAAAACAACTTTTTGAAAACCTGCTCATTAATTTTCCAATTGGAATAACTTGGATTTATATAGCGCCTTTCAAGAAACCCAAGGATCTTGGCTTATTACAGAGAGAACAAGTCAACTTCAATTTTAAACTATTCAAGCTTTTAAAAGTGCCATGGGAAACCAGCTGTGGGTTCAATGTTGAGGTGAAAGGGTTATTTAAGAAGAGAAAGGAAATGTTGGAGTGATGTTCGGAGACCAACGCAACTCAAGATAAATAAAGTTGAGGTTTTTTGTCCACATATATGGACTCCTCTCTTTCATGACCTTGATTGGAAATTGGATTGGATCCAATCACATAAGTGGGGAATATGTACAGTATGTGTGTGTGTGCGTTGTGTGTGAGAATGTTTTTGACCGGGGATGTGTTTTTTTTTACTGAGAGTGGTTGTTAATGGGGTTTTAATGGACTGTGCTTTGCTAATGGGAAGCTTGGCATAAGATCTAGGTTGGTGCCATGCTGGACAAACACACAAATCCATGTACACACACTCGCACATGCACACACACATGTTACACGCAAACCGGGATAGAAACAGTAAAATCGCTTTGGGGCTCATTATGAATACCAGGACAGCCAATAATTTAACTCACAGGCTGTCAGTGAAAGCTGCCAACACACACAAACCCACACACAAGTACACACACATGTACTTCAAAGACTCACACACGAGTCCATTTGAATCAGGAATGACACGTAACACAGCGGCTCTCAACGTGAAACATATTTTGATATTGGACACTGCATCTCTCTCTCTGTGTTCGTGTTTCATTCGATCTTTAAAAGGCGTGTGCAGACAGGGCTGTCACTTTATTCTTTTTTAATCCCAACAAGTTTTCCATTATATAACACAAACTAAAATGTTGTCAGGTTCAAATCAATACACTCATTTCTCAGTAAATGTATCTGACACAGTCTCAGGCCTGAGTGTGAAGTCAAATTGCCCCTTTGATTTGAGATAAGAATAATTTCAATTAGGTTTTTCCAATAAGACCGCCTCAGCACAAATTGACCAAAACCTCGTTGGGCATCAATCCGCTGCCCTCATATGACCAGATGTAATTCTATATTGTCTGATTTTGTGATGTGAAAATCCTTTGAATAAGTGTGTCAATACAGAAGACTGCACCATTTCACATTACACTTAGTGCTTTTTAGTCATATAATTACAATTTGAACATAAAGGTTAGATGTGAGTCATTGTGTCCACCAATGTGTTTGAATAAGAAAGCAGTTGCCAAAATGTTAGCAGCGCAATTCATTTAATCGTTTATTTCGCAGGGACAATGCACGGTTATGAACACTTAAAACATTCAAATGTGTCAAGCGTAACAGTGCCAGATTTAGCTTTTAACTCATTTCCATCCGCAGTCCCTCACATAAAAACATTTAAGAAATGTACATTTTACAAACATTGTAAAAACAAAATTACATATTATGCAAAAAGTGCAAGAGCAGCACACACAAGTATTTATGGCATGGTAATACAATATAACAGCAACGACATATAAAGTGCAAGAGAAGATACAAGAGCTACCTAAAGTGCAAGAGAAGATACCCCTGTGTTAAAGTGCATTTAGCGGTGATTGCACGTCTGGTTGTTTCTCATCCATTCTTTGAGTTGACCTTTGAAGCTATTGAGAGTGGGACAATCCTGTATCTCAGTCAGGAGGCTATTCCAGAGTGAGCTGCCTTTAATGGAGAGGACATTTTGTCCAAAAGTGGTCCGTCTACGGTGGACTTCACAGTCTCCTCTGGTTTCTGACCTAGTGCAGCGTCCAGTGTGTTTTTTGTGGATGAATTCCCCTAAGTGGGGGGGGGGGGGGGGGGGCAGTCCATGTAAACATTTATAAATAAAGCACATACTTTTAAAAGACTTAAAATTGTCAAAACTCAAAAAGGATAGTACATTGGTGGTATGAATATGGCTTTCTGTCAAACACCTTGATAGCCCTCTTGTGCAGCTGTTCTATCGGTTTAAGGTTTGTGGCACAAGCAAACGACCAGTTTGTGAAACAGTATTCAATGTGGGATGGAATCATTAAGGCAGCTTATAAAAAGCATTGCTGAAAAAAGAAAGACTGTGAGAAATACTGTAAATTGTTCCCCAAAACTGTTGAAGATACTGTAGCTTAGTCAACAAAAGCAAATACTTTAGCGTTATGCAAGACGAACTTGCCAACTCATTATTTCATTAGAACTTACTATGTGTAAAAAAGGCCAGATTTATGGAGCTGAACTGAAAACAAGGAAACTTAACTGAAGTTTCCATAAATGTTAATCATTTTCATTTGCAGCGCTGCTCATCTGAATTATTCGCTGTCCAGTACATTACACATGAGATATAAGAGGTAAAATAAGATCAATTAGACTACACTCTAAACAGAGGGTGTTGAAAGGTGTGTGTTATTCTGAAGAACACACACACGCAACAGCAAAATAAAAAAAGGACTCTCGAATTCTCTTAAATGTATATAACAAAAATGAGGTAGAGAGAGTCATTTGTTTCTAAAAGGGCAAATACTGCCAATCCAGCTTCTAAATAGTTATGAACTTTATTACCGGAAAGGGCAAAGTTACCACGTATGAGCCATCAGTTAGATAAGAGCAATGCCCTCTCACGTGGCTTGAACCCTACATGTTCCCGAACCTGAGCTGTGGAAGCCAAGTCGAAAGTGTAATTGTAAAATAAAATAAACACACACACACACACACACACACACACACACACACACACACACACACACACACACACACACACACACACACACACACACACACACACACACACACACACACACACACACACACACACCACACACACACACACACACACACACACACAAACAGTTTAAGGAAACTACTGTACCATGAAAGGCACCTGCCAAACCATCAGGACACAATAAGCTTAAACAAAAGGTCTAAATGTATACAAGGAGCCGGATATCTAACCGATAACACTTTGAATAGTGGGGTACCTGCTTAAAATGTTTTGGGAAAATGTAGAACACATTCACCCACACACCCACACACACACACACTGCAGCCTGGCATTTCAGAACAGCCCTGGCCTCACCAAGCTAAACTAGCCAGATCTCTGAGAGCAGATCCGAGCTACACAACGCTTCCTGGCTCAGACAGAGAATCCTACAAATGCTGGCTCGACCTGTCCCTCCCTCAGCGTGTAAGCATCCCATGATCCCCTCTATTTCTGCATGATGCGAAAAACTATTTTGTTTCACAGCTGCAATTTTGCTTAGAGGGATTGCTTAGCTCTTACCAGACAACACACACAGGGACCGACAGAAGAGAGTGGCAAGGGAGAGGAGGAGAAGAAGAAGAAGTAGAAGAGAGGTAAGAGAGAATAGCAGAGAACAATGCTCAGACGTATTGATTAGTTCTCCTCTTCTTTCCCCAGACCGTATACATATTTATGATGCAAATGTAATTATTAATCTCACTTTGGCTCCACCGTCTAAATGTTCTGACCTTCTCTAAACGCACTCCATCACTTAAGGCCAACTCTTACGTTGTTTTCAATGCTACAGGCATCACTGGACACACAGAAGATTCTCAGAATTAGGAGAAAGTATGGAAACAGGAAGAAGAAAGTGAGACCCCTAACCAGGCATCGGGTGAAAACTGACCTGTACTGCGGGGCCCAGTCCGTGACGTTAATGTTGTTGAAGGTCCAGCGGTACTGCAGGGGCCAGCTGCCTCCAGCCAGGCAGGTCAGCACCAGCCTGTTCCCCTCCAACACCACCTGCTGCCCCCGCCCGGCCCCTCGCAGGTAGGGAGCCACCTCTGACAGAGACAGAGAGGAAAATATGTTATTATTGTTATATGAAAAACACTGCATTAGTCACGCTTGGACATTTGAGCAAATGTAATCTGTATTCATCCACCGAAACAATGAAAACATAGAATTCCATTCGTGGTTTGTCCTTGGCACGAACAACGTACAGACATGTTTGTTTCAAAGTGAAATACTGGAGTCTGCACATGCTATGATAAACTGCACTGCCTAACTACTAACTGTATTCATTCACCTCTTCTTCTTACCTACTCCTACAGCCAAGACTTAGCCTTTCTCACCTCTATGACTCTCTTTTATATCATCATTAGTAACGGTAAGAGTAAAGTGGGTGTACCAAACTCTGCAGAGACTCATCTAACAAGATTTACCAGGACTTTCAGTGGAAATCCCCCACTCCATTAGTGAGCTCCAGTAAAACATTTCTCCACCACTATTCCTGCTGTCATAAATCGTACTGCATAGGGAAAAACTCCTATTCAAATAAATAAATATAAGTATAAATAATTACATTGCAAGAACCTCCTGAAACATATCAGAATCTTCCTGTTTAAAGAAAGAACAAGGCTATATATCTTGTATTACTCTCTATAGTATTATGTTTTTTCAATAGGATTCAATTATACCCAGGATTAATGGTGCATCTTTAAGGTAGCAAACACATATGGCATATGATGCATGTCAAAACACTCGCTGCTATTGTTTTCCATGTAAGCCCACACACCAGCAGCATGAATCACAGTGTCAGCATGTCCTATTTCCCAGCATTGACGCGCATCAATGGACCAGAAAAGCAGCAATTCTATCACATTTACTCCCTGGAACAACACACTGTAACTTGACTACGTCTTCTGTCGGCACCGAGCATCTGCTGTGTGCTGCTGGCATCGGTTGAATTGTATCAAATGCCAGTGTATATTGCACTTAAGGCTTTGTACGAAGAGAAAGGTCAAACAATGTTTCACACTCACTCTCAACCCAAATGTATAACAAGGTTGGACATCCTATCGTTCAGGTGTGATGTGATCAAACCGGATAAAGTCACGCTCACTCACACTAGTGGCATGTTAAGAACATAACCTTTCAACAATGGTTCTTCCCCTCCAGCTCACTTGTTATTATCGAGACACAATGTTTTCTCACTTACAAACCATATTTACTCGCGGTACCGTCGCTGCTGCTTCTGATAAGGCTGCTGATTCGCTGGCTATGACTTGCAAGGTGCATTTGCTGAATGGCTGGGCTGCAGCTGCTGTCTAAACAATGGCATCCAGTCTTTAACTCTTGGCTCAGGTGTTCAGACCTGGCTCCCCAGCACACAGCATTAAGGCTAAAGTGTGTGTCCACGGCAACTAGCTGAAGGACCTGTCAGCATCTGTTGGGGCCTGGATCCACTAAACAAAAATCAGCATCTGGGTGTAGGGTGTACGGTGTAGGGTGTACGGTGAGGGGGGATGGAGACACAAAGATTTATTGAAACCATCAACCATTTACACACACATACACACACCAGCTGGGTTAGAAGGGGGCAGGCTTATCTGCTTGCTACAGTATGTATGGACAGGTCCATAACTCTGAGGCAGAGTTTTATATTCTCTCTTTCTCTCTCTCCTTCTCCTGTCAACTCAATCTTCTCTCCTCCCTGCCAATTCAACTTTCTCAGTTCTCTGTCTCCTCCAGCCATTTCACTTTGTCCCTGTTTCCCTCCTTATTCCCTGCAGATGTCTCAGGGCCACTTTTTCTTCCCTGCTTCTCTTTCTCTGCTTTCCACTGTTTCCCCCTCTCCCCCCCTCCCCCCCCTGCTCTCTTTTTAGATTGATAGCTGCCTGCTCTGAGCACAAGAGGGAAGTGTTCCATCTATGATAGATTTATACAGCAGTCTGCGTGTGTGGGTGTGTGTATCTGTGTGTGTGTTGGTGAGTATAAGAGAGAGAAAGAAAGAAACGGTGTGTGAGCGTGCATGCGAGTGTAAGGATTTATTTGGAATATTCCGTTTCTACAGACGATGGCTGGCAGTGCAGACTCCAATGTCAAACTGCTGACCAGCACAATAACTCACCGCTGCCTGCCTATGTGTATAAGTGAGAGAGAGAGTGTGTGTGTGTGTGTGTGTGTGTGTGTGTGTGTGTGTGTGTGTGTGTGTGTGTGTGTGTGTGTGTGTGTGTGAGCAGCAGAGATGCAGCCTTTTCAGCTTCCACAATATGACCCTAAATAAAGGTTGGCTCATGAGCGTACTGTACAAATAGAAAGATGCACCTGCATCTAGGGCTGCTCAATTAATCGTATTTTAATCGCAATTACGATTATGGGTTGCAACGATTACGAAAGCAACGTAATCGAAATAAAACGATTATCTTTTTATTATTACTTTTTTTTTTTTTTTTTTTTTTTAAATACATTTTTTTTTTTATTGGTTTTTCAGTTGATTTATACTTAAAGTTCAGGGTAATCAACTGTTAAAAACATACTGTTCACTTTTTTTTTCTCCAACATTCACCATGTTTTCAAAGTAAAGGGATAATCGTTTTTAATAATCGTGATATAAATTATTGACCAAAATAATCGAGATTATGATTTTTGCCATAATTGAGCAGCCCTACCTCCATCCATTCCACTTATCTACAACTTTCTTCATACTTCATACCTTGAACAGCTGCACATTGAATCCCCTACCCAGCCCCCTCTACTCCTCACGGCCATTTAAACCTCAGTCTACTATAAAGGGAGTCCATTAGGAAGTACAGATAGAGATAGAGAACAGCACATCTGAGGGGAGCAAGGTCAGCTAACAGCCCGTTTCACTCACTGCTGTCGTCTGTCTCCCTCTCTTCCCCCGATGTCTGTTTCTCTGTCACTTCAAATCAGCTTGCCACTCCCTCACATCCCCCCCCCCCTCTTCCTAACCTGTCTGTCTTCCTCGCCAGCTGTACCAAACCAACCGACCACCTGTCTGTCTGTCTCCTGTCTCTGTTCCTCCTCCTGTCTCATGTTGCCCCTCGGTCCGTCTCTGTGGCGGCTCAAGGTCTTTGCTTTTTGTCTTTTGGGGAGGAATGTCGCCTAACAGAGAGATCGGCCTCCAAATGTGACAGGAGAGTCAAGAGGCAGATTCAAACACACACTTCTCGGCTGACGCAACATGTGCGTGTCCCCGTTCCCCGGGGGCTGGTCTCATTGAGCTGCTTAGGCAGATTCTGGGGAGGAATTCAATTTGCAGAGGAGATGAGTGCTGATAGAGGGGAGAGGGAGGAGAGGAGGATGAAAGGAGAGGAGGAGGAGAGGACCAGGGTTGCTGCTCCAGGGCTGATCGTCCACTACGATGTCACCCTCTCTCCTCTTTGTCCCTCTGCACTTTTACAGTGAGTGTGATTGAAATGAGTCCCTTAATGACTTGTCCTTTACAAATGGTCCAGTAACGATCATTATTCTTACACCGTGCTGCATTAAACATCCCAAAATTAATCCAGAATTTTACTGCAGCAGCTGTGTCATGGTGTGAGATTTTCTCTGGCTGGGTATGAGGTCAAGGTGCCGTCTAACTGGTAACAGCAGGGGGAAAGGTTTGATTATTTTGTGTTGGAAGTATTATATTTAGGTGGTCCAGAAAACCCATAGGTGTTGGGTTTGTATTCAGCTTGGCATGGGGAACCCTGTGGGGTAAATGCTTTTCAGAGCACTGACATGAGTGAGAGAGCGGGGATACAACTGAAGTTGAACCGCTGATCTGATTCCAACAGTGCCTGATTAATTATTGGAAATGTGTGTGTACGTGCGGTGTGGGAATGTGTGTGTGTGTGTGGCGGGTCAGAATTAGGGTCACTCATTCCAGAAAAATCACTTTATCTTCATAGAGCTGAACCCCTACTGTGAGACAGGGCTGGCAGAGCTGGCTAGAGACTATGAATACTGATTCACTGATAGTGTGTGTGTCTCTCTCTCTCTCTCTCGCTCTCTCTGTGTCTCTCTCGCTCTTTATGCTTTCTTGATGCATGAGGTTGAAGGGGAGAAAATAACTAAATCAGACTCTTTTATTACACCTACATTTTCTATGAATAAGCGGTTAAAAATTGCAAGCTAGGCAGTTTTTTCTCCCATGGTAACAGCAATCTATTTGATTATGGGGTGCAAATGAGTTCTACTCCCTTTGTAATCTAATAAGTCTGCCAGCACTAGTTCCAACAGGCATTTAAAAACATCTAATTGGACGGACAGTGTGTGAGGCGGCAGAGAAAGAATTATGAGTTTCACATTTTGGCGCGTTGCTCGCAGTCGGAAAAATAGGGTCGGAAAACAGGCTAATTAATTGAACAATGTAAAGTGGAAGGGCTGAGAAATGAGGTTTCATTTCCAATATAAGAGTTCAGATAAGTCGAGCGTAAATACATCACAAATGCATCTGAATTGTATACATTTAATTGTCTGTGATGCTGTTGGTATATTGTATATAGGAGAACAATTAAGAAGACTGGACACTCACAATTGGATAGTTTCAACAAAATGCCCATTGTTTATTGTTCCTGTTTGTCTCTGTAAAGCGACCTTGGGTCCCATGAAAGGCACTATATAAATCTAAGCTATTATTATTATTATTATTATTGTTTAAGTGTAGACTTTCAGAAGGGGTCACATATTGAAGCTGACTACATGGAACACTCTACAAAACAGCTAGAGTATGATAAGAGTCACTTTGTGAGGCAGCCTAGAAATCCAATTGGAACACACATTTTTTAAATGTTCCGGCATCAAAACAAAAATAAACATTCACCAAAACAGTTTAGTCTAGCTAAATTATTCTCCACTTCGCAAAAAAACACCCTGCCTTAAACTAAAGAAAATGCAAAGTGTAGTTGAAATGCTGGATTGAGAGAGACGAGGGCAACATCACTCTGCAGAGAGGGCTGTCGGACGGAGAACTTCACAAGAGTGAGGTGAATTTCAGGTGAGCAGGGGCTCTGACCTGAAAGCTGATGAATATAATTCTCTCTCTGGGCAC